TGTTTTCAGATTTTGGGTATTGGGAACAGTGCTGCAGTGAACATACAATGCAGATGTCATTTGTGCCGTGTGTTTTTGCATCCCAGGAATATATTCCCAGAAGTGGTATTGCTAGGTCATATGAAAGCTCAATTTCTAAGTTTTTTGAGAAATGACCATGTTGTTTTCCAAAAAGACTGGACCAGTTGGGATTCCTACCAACAATGAATTAGAGTCCCTTCCCCACATCCATGCCAGCACAGGTTGTTCTTACTCTTTTTTGGTGTGTGCCAGTCTCTGTGGTATAAGGTGATATCTCATTGTTGTTTTGATTTGCATCTCCCTGGTAATTAGTGATGTAGAGCATTTTTTCATGTACCTTTTTGCAATTTGTATTTCTTTCTTGAGAAGGTTTCTATTCATTTCTCTTGCCCATTTTTTGATGGGGTTACATGTTTTTTCTTATAAAGTTCTACCAGTGCCTTATATACCTTGAATATTAGCCCATTATCTGATGGGTATTGGATAAATAATTTTTCCCATTCTGTGGGCTGTCTCTGTCTTGGTCACTGTTTCTTTTGAGGTGGAGAAGCTTCTTAGCTTAATGTGGTCTCATTTGTTTATCTTTGCTTTCACTTGCTTGGTCAGTGATGTTTCATCTTTAAAGATGCCTTTATCTTAACTGTTATGAAGAGTTCTACCAGTGTTTTCCTTCATGTACCTTATGGATTCAGATCTGATATTGAGGTGTTTAATGCATTTTGAGCTGACTTTTGTGCCTGGTGTTAGAGGTTTGAGTTCATTTTTTGCATGTAGCTGTCCACTTTTCCCATTACCACTTGTTTAAGAGGTTTTCCTTGCTCCATTTCACATTTCTTAGTCCCTATGGATTTGCGGACAGTCAGAGACACACTTAGGGACCAACAGGGCTATGCCTATTGGTGCTCAGAGGACTGAGTGGCATCGAGGATCAGGACATTTACGTGTAAAAAGCATGTGTTCCAATCCTTGAAGCTATCTTCTTGGTCTCAATAATTTTAATAACACCCAAGAATAGCCGAGATAAATACCAGGAGGTTTACTGCATGGCTTGGAGGCCAGCCACACACTCTAGGGGAAAAGGCAGCTCAGATATAGAAGGGAGCACCAAATAAAGGGTGTTGGGAGGACCCTCCTAGGATGGGAGAAGCATGCTGAAAGTAGACTATAGACCAAAAATGATTGCCACTCAATGCCTCTTTTTCAAACCACAGCACCCAAAAGGAGAGAAAGAACAAAAGGGAGTGCCCTGCCACAGAGGCAGGGTGGGATGGAGGGATGGGGGGTGGGAGGGATACTGGGACCCATGGTGGTGGAGAATGGGCACTGGTGGAGGGATGGATATTCGATCATTGTATAACTGAAACCCAAGCACAAAAATTTGTAAGTCTACAACTGTACCTCATGGTGTTTCACTAATAAAAATTAAAAAAAAAAGTAATAATTTTTTCATTTATGCCTCTCTTCTTTTCCTTCATCTTTTTTTGTTTGTTTGTTTTTGGACCATACCCAGCGATGCTCAGAGCTTTCTTTTAATTCTGCACTCAGGAATTACTCCTGGAAGTACATGAAGATCTATATGGGATCTGGGGGATCAAACCCTGGTTAGCCTCTTGCAAACTAAGAGCCTTACCCATTGTGCTATCTCTGGTCCCACGGATTATCTTACAACAAATTCCACGACATCTTATTTGCAAAGATGGCTCACTGTGTACCTCTAAGAGTGAAAGAAAAATTATCAAAACCCAAGCCACACCAAATATCCTAAAAATAATAACATCTATTTATTTTTTTCAACATTGATCTTTAAAAAGAAAAAAAAAAGACTGTCTCCTGAATTTCCTGGAGGAACTCTTTATTTGTTAGCCCAGCAAGCTACCGAGAGTATCTCGCCTGCACAGCAAAGCCTGGCAAGCTACCCGTGATGTATTCGATATGCCAAACACAGTAACAGTAAGTCTCACAATGGAGATGTTACTGGGCCAGCTCGAGCAAATTGATGAACAATGGGAAGACAGTGCTATAGTGCAGTGCTACAGTGATCTTTAAAAATTAGTATTCCTGTTTCTTAATTTTCTTATAATTTTTTCTTTTGCTTGAATCAGAACTCAAATCAAATCTATGTATTATAATGAATTGCTTTGTCTTCACGAATCACGACCATCCTGTTATTTGTCGATTGCCTCGAGCAGGCCCCAGTAACGTCTCCTTCATCCTAGCCCTGAGATTTTTAAGAAAGTGCTATATTCAAGGCTCTTTAGGAGAATGAGACCCATCATTGTTACTGGTATTTGGCATATTGGGTACGCCATGGGGAGTTTGCCAGATTCTGCTGTGTGGGCAGGTTACATTCGGTAGCCTGCCAGTTTGTCCAAAGTAGGAATAAGATAATAAGATGTTATAATAAGATGTTGCGCGGCCGCAAATGCGGCCGCGCGGTTCCAGAACCTGGTTTATAGTCTCTGAGTCTTGGCCGTTGATGGGATTACATGGCGCCAGGGGGCCAGTTGGTGGGTGTGACTCCCGCCTACTGGAATTCAGAGGATCTGGGTGGAGGATGCTCAGCCCCGATCCGAGTAGGCTTGGAGGTCTGTCTTAAGGTCTTTAATGAGGTCCTCCTCTGTATTGCCTTTAAGAAGCAATATACATCTACAAATGTCCATGCTATAGTTTCCTATAGTCTTCATATTTGCTGATTGTGTTTATGTGATAATATGTAACATGTTATTTCATCCTTTATCACTTAATCACTTAATCACTTAATCCCCATTATTCATCGATTTATTCGAGCGGGTGCCAGTAACGTCTCCATTCATCCCGGTTGCGTGCTAGCGTAGCCCAATGGTATCTGTTCGTTCTAGGAACATGCAGAGCCTCAAACCGATCATTTAGGGTCTTGACGAAGAAGTCTGACCATCTTATAGGTGGGCGTCCACGTGATCTTTTGATGTCCCGTGGAATCCAATCAGTAATGGCTCTAGTCCAGCGGTTGTCTGTAAACCTCATTACGTGTCCAGCCCATCTGATTTTTGATGTCTTGGCAAATGAGACAGCGTCCCTGATTCTTGAGCGTTGACGAAGATCAGAACTCCGGATTCTATCTCTCATTTGAGTGAATTGTGATATTCCAAGCATAGTTCTTTCGATTCCTCTTTGAAAGACCCGAATAGCGTTCTCATCCTGTTCTCGTAGGGTCCAGGTCTCTGAGGCATATGTTAATGCAGGAAGAATAGTGGAATCAAAGAGATGTGCTCGTAGCTGGAGGTTCTTTGTCCTTTTAGTTATTTCTTCAATGCTCTTGAAGGCATTCCAAGCCGCTCTCTTCCTCCTGCGTAACTCAGGTGCCAGGTCATTCATCATGTTGATTTCTCGACCTAGGTATATATAACTGTTGCATTCGGAGATGGTGGTTCCGTTGAAGCGAATGGAGCGTCAGGAACAAGGGTGTTTCTCATAAACATTGTCTTCGTAAGATTCAGCTGTAGTCCTACCTTTCCACATTCACGGTCAAAGTCGTTCAGCATTTGTGCCGCTTGGCTGATGTTTGGTGTTATTAGAACGATGTCATCAGCAAAGCGGAGGTGGTGTAGTTGCCGACCATCTATCTTCACTCCCATGTTTTCCCATTCCAGTCGTCGCATGATGTTCTCGAGGGTGGCACTGAAGAGTTTTGGTGAAATGGTATCACCCTGCCGAACCCCTCTCTTGATATGGATGATACCAAGCTCATTGAGGTATCTCGGGAGTTCAAGATGCCGCTCTGTCTAACGTTCATTGATTTAAAGAAGGCCTTTGATTCTGTTGAGACGGAAGCAGTCATGGAAGCCCTAGGCAATCAGGGCATACAAACTCAATACATCAGGATCCTTCGTGAGCTCTGTTGCGGATTCACTACCAAGATTTCACCATTCATCCTTTATATTCTCTGTAAATATAGTCCTATTTGACTAGATTGTTTTGTTTTGGGGCCGCTCCTGGAGGTGCTCAGCGCATACTCCTGTCTCTGTGCTTAGGAATCAATCCTGGTGGGGCTCGAGGGATTGATTATAGGTAGTATTGGGGATTGAACCCCGCTGTACTCTCTCTCTGGTTCTTTGTTAGATTTAGAGCCGTGCTTCTCTATGTGGTGAATGATACTGGTATTTAATAGGAAGAGGCCAAGGGATGCTGCTAACTGCCATGCAATGCACAGGAGCCCCTACAACAAATAATTTTTTGTTTTTTAGCTTTTTGGGTCACACCCAGTGATGCTCAGGGTTACTCCTGGCTCTTCACTCAGGAATCACTCCTGGCGGTGCTCAGGGGACCATATGGGATGCTGGGATCAAACCCGGGTTGGCCGCGTGCAAGGCAAACGCCCCACCTGCTGTGCTATTGTCCAGCCCCACAACAAATAATTTTATGGAGTTAAATATTAATAGTACTAGAGTTTAGGGCTGGAGTGATAGCACAGCGGGTAGGGCGTTTGCCTTGCGCACACCCAGCCCGGCTGAGATGGGTTCGATTCCTCCGCCCCTCTCGGAGAGCCCGGCAAGCTACCGAGAGTATCTCGCCCGCACGGCAGAGCCTGGCATGCTACTTGTGATATATTCGATATGCCAAACACAGTAGCAACAAGTCTCATGATGGAGACATTACTGGGCTCGCTCAAGCAAATTGATGAACAATGGGAGGACAGTGACAGTGACAATATTAGAGTTGAGAAGCTATAATCCACAGACTTGATCAGATTCAAGTTTAATTATTTTGGGTGTTCATCTGCTTTTGGGATTTTTGCGTAAGGCTATTGGTCGTTATGATCCTACAAAAGAGCAATATTCTCGTTCTATCATATTTTTCTTTATTATTTGAAATATGCCTTCAAGAGAAACTTTTCTTTCTCAATTGTTTATTTATTTTGAGCTGCAATAATACATTAAAGGCAGGGTAAACGCCTGATGTTTTCCTTTTTCTAACCAATCACATATCATATTTTATTCCAGGTTGATCTCCTATCAAGAGTTTTTGGCATTTGAATCTGTTTTATGTGCTCCAGATTCCATGTTCATAGTGGCTTTTCAATTGTTTGACAAGAGTGGAAATGGAGAGGTGACATTTGGTAAGGAAAAAAAAAGATTTTAAGTGATAAGTGAAGTTAGTGAGGTTGGTTTAGTTTGTAAGTACTTATTCTGGTAATGGAATATGTTAGGTCCTAGTCAATCAGTGAAGTTTTACTTTTCTAAATGAAATTTATGCAGATAGTTTTATCTTCTTCAGAGCATTACCAAATTACCAGATTATTACCAAAAATAAAGAGATATAGGATTGCTGTTGCTTTAGCTCATTGAACCACTGATACTTTCACATTCCTGAATGAGGTGGTGTAAAATTTTCTTGTTCTGGGCCAGTCTGGATAAAATTCTTTATGAAAAGGCCATGAACAACATGGAGTAATCATCTCATTCTTTAAGGGATTTTGGGGTAGAGAGGTCAGAACTTCTCTTCAGCATCCATGGAGCATTGCTACCAAGTCACTTTGAATACTGAGAGCAGAACAAAAGGATCTCGTGAAGGCAAGAGTAGTTAGTTTTCTGAACCCTCAGATTAGATCTTTGACCTATAAATTGCAACCAGAATTAAAAATTGGTCTTTGAGTTGGATACAGAAATATACTGAAATTTTTTGGTGGTCACATAATCTGCCACACTTGTTGATGTCTCATGATTGTAAACTAGGATGCTTATTTTTAGAAATGAACTTGTGTTTTGCTAAAGTGTCGGCTAATTTTCCTGCAGTAGATTTTTCAATAAAAGCAGTGCTGTGTTTTTCAAGTGCTGATTCCTTCTCCCCATTTAAAAAAATACTTGATTTTTTTTTATTGTGTAAGAGCAATACATAGAAATAAAACTTGCCATCTTAACTATCTTTAAATGTACAGTTCAGTAACATTAAGTATATTCACATTATTATAAGAAAAAGTCAATTCCTACTTTTTTTTCTTGTAGAGCTAAACTTGATGCCCTTGTATCATATGGATTTGCCATCCATGTATGGGAGAGAATTCTTTAAAATCAAGCTTTCCTTGAGCCACAGTGCTAATATTTATTCACTGCAATACTTGTTATAGAACAACCACCCTCTAGTTAAATTCAAGGGAAGAAGATTCACTGGTATGGGAAAAATAGTAAGAAAATACAAGATACTTAGAAGGCTCACTGGTAGCTTCCCTGTGATTTTTGTTGGCCCATTTCCTAAATTGTTACTGATTAGCGCTTTTCTTCTGCCCACTGACCCCGTTGTCTCTTACATGATAAGCCCTTCTCAAATAAATACCTACGTGGAGTGCTTTAGGTCTCTGTGTTTATCCTGGCATTCTTCCTACTTTGGAGCAAGGTCTGGCTATTATGCCTCCTATAGTACATTGACTTTCTTCAGAAATGACTAGGTTCTGAATTTTAAATATTATAACCTCTGTTATCCATCATCAACCCTGATAATGCTACATTTTCTGTTTCTAGTAGGTATCACACACATCACATACCAAAATATATAGAAGCATTCGGGAGATAACTTGATATAAATATCTGAAGTTAGTGACAGTATAACTTGTGCTTCTATCATATACTCGTTATTTGAGAATTATATTTTCTAAAACCAACATGTTATTTTGTCTCTCCTACTGTGATCTCATGATTCTATGTCGCCTCCATTTGATTACCTTTTAAATTTTTATCTTTATTTTAGTATATGCACCCAAAGCACTGCCAGGTATGACCTCAAACTATCCCCTTGCACCCAAAATAAGAATAGAGAGTTCATGCAAATGAATGCATGTAATTATTAGACCCCAACTTTACCACTTACTAGATCTTTTGCTTTTCCCTCAGACTATGATTTTTGAGTTAGGATTTCAAGAAAATATAATTGGGATTAGAAGCACTGTAGCACTGTCCTCCCATTGTTCATCGAGTTGCTCGAGTGGGCACCAGTAACGTTTCCATTATGAGACTTGTTGTTACTGGTTTTGGCATATCGAAGCAAAAAGAAATTATTTTAAAAAATTTTTTTGTGTCTATAAGAACATATAAAGCCTCTAGAATTCAGTTCTTACTTTACTACTTCACAATCTAGAGTTCGGGAGATTCTTGTGAAATAACAGAAATTCAGTCCACTTTTGACATTGTTCTGGGTTACCCTGGTCAACTAGGTAGTTCTTTTATGGTACCTTGGGGCTTTTCTAAGGCCATTTTTTTCCCTTTCTGTCCTCTCTCTCTGGTTGACATCCTATTTTAAATATTCAAAACTAAATGAAAGTACTCGTAATGAAAAATAAAACATTTAATTGCATATTCTTAAAAGGAAACTCTTCCAAGCTAGCAGACGCCTCTTAATATAATTTCTGAGGCCCTCTCAGTTCAGACTGTATTCAAGGCTATAGAATTTCAGCATTTGGAAATAATAAACTTGGAGTTTATTTTTATAGGATTTTGGATCTATGGTAAAGGTCAGTTTTTATATCTGTATTTACTTAATGGAAAGAACTGTATGTATGTTTATAGACACATGTTTAGATAAAAGGGAATTTTAGGACCATCCTAATTCTAAATCATTCTCACCAAACGGCCTATGTTTTCTAGTTTGCAGCTTATTTAAGTATAGTTTTCTCTTTTCTATATTCTAAGAGGAAGGTGGGAAAGTGTATTGGATGTAAGGCTCAATGGGGTAGGGAAGTACTGTTAGATCATTTCTGTCTCTCGTGGATTATGATGATGATGTTATCTGTACTTGTACATACTGTTCTCATCTATGCTTTTAAAGAGATGTTTTATTTGCATCAGCTCATATACTTAAGTTGTGTATATCTGCAAAGTTTTCTATAAATAACAATATTGAGTAACATTTTCCAGAGTGCTGGAGATTTTTGTTTTGTTTTAATTGTTAGAGATGAATCTGGTCTGGGGGAGATGCTTCACACTGATACCTGGGTAATCTGACACAGAATGTGAAAGTATAGGAGAGGGTTTTGGAAATTTCAGAAGAGTGAAGAAAAAAACCTATAGATCATTGTTTTCTTTTTGATCATTTATTCCTTTAATAAAACTTCTAATGCATGCTATGGTAATTATTTGGTGGCTTGTATATCTATTACTACCTGGTGACTTGAGCCTTGTAAAGACCATTGCATGACTGGTGTGTGTTAGATGCAGCTTTAACTTGCCTTAGTCTCACTATTACCCAGTAGTGTACTGGATGTTCCATTCCACAGAATTGGGGTGAGGATAGCTATTACAGTTTTATACTACACTGTGTTTTCAGTAACTGCAATGCATCTGTCCCAACTTTAATAAAGAAAAAGGCCTGTTTCTTTGACAGAGATGTAGTTATTCTAAGAACCCACCAAAAACTCTTACCTATTGACTAATAAGGGAATACAAAATATGTATGCATTCTAAGTTTTCTGTTAAAATTGCATCAACATTGTATTCCAAAGTATTTGCGTAGGAATGAGAACAATTCAATATCAGCTTTTCCAAGGGCATGTCTTTCCTGCTCCTGATTTTGTGCTGTTTGACCATCAGTATGTCCAGCTTCAATATGTTCAGGAATACACAAGTCTATTTCATTTGTGCCTCTAAATCAAACCCTTTTCCCTTTAAGAGAAGAATGGAGTGGAGTTGTTCAGGTATAACCAGTATGACTACTATTAAAAACATTCAGGAGATGTGAAAATTGTACCCTCTTTCAGGGGGAACAAAGGTACTGGCATGGAATGATATGAATTTCTACGTGTAAAAAATACCTTGGTTTAATCTTATAGGAAGTGTTCACATTGGGTGTTTAATTAATTCAGGAAGAAATTTTGAGACCCTTTTCGGACGATCTCAGAGTAGGTTATATTAACATTCAGGGCTAGTAGAGTAGCTCAGAGTTTGAAGTTTAAAAAAAGGAGTCTGATGTTATTAGTAATTATTCCTCTTAGTTGTTAACTGTTGAAGCATCTAAGTTTTATAGTAATAGATGCTTTTTAAATGTAAACTCCTCTTTCCTGAAAAAAATACATATTTACATACATATGACAGCAGAACTACCTGTTGACTGATTGTGCAGTAGTTCCTTCTGGAGGTAGGTAAAGAGTTCATAGAAATACTTTCCCCCAGCACAACAGGGGAGGTCACTCAGGAAACCACAGACTCTCCTAGAAAGTAGAACTAGAAGTTCGGAACTGAGTCAACATGCCATGTTGGTTGGGACTTCTTCTACAAGTTCCTGTTGTTGATCTTTTTGTTGTTGTCCTTTGTTTTTTGTTTTCCTTTTTGGTCTCCTAGTTGTTCCTCTTCTCCCTCCTCCCCCCAAGTTTTCCTTCATTGAAAAATTCTACTTCCACAAGTCTTGCTATTGTTTTTGTTCAGTTATACTCAAGGATACGCGTTATTTGTGGTGGGAGTTCTTCTAAAAGCTTCTCTGACTTCACTTTAAGAACCATCCAGGTGAAAATCAGCTATTGAGCACTTTTTTCCCCCCTGACAATAAAAAAATGTTTGGTCTCCAGCCTGTAAGTTGGAAGCAGTGGCTCCTGCTGGGCTGAAATCCTTGGAATCAGGATGTCGTTGGGCTGATGGTAGGTGGGCTGTGTCACAGGGCTGATGGCTTGTATACCTACAGGAGGAGTTCTCTGGCCACACCGTTGGTACAGCAGCTCCTTCCAGGCTCATTCATGGAACAGGCATGGCGGCAGTCTTGGAGAAGAGTGCCAGCCCCGGTCAGAGGTAATTTTGTACTGCAGAAAGGTGAACAAGACCAGTAGGAAGCTCCCATAAGGACCAGGGGAGGGATGTGGGTGGATGAGAGGGGGAGACACAGTGTGGGTCTCTGGGGAAATGAGAATCTCTGTTAAGACATATATACATAATTTATATGCTTCAATGTGTATTTCATCTAGTCCAATCATCATAAGTGACTGATACAGCTAAACTGACTAATGTAATACATCTGTAAACATTTTTACTTAATCACAGTTACCACCATTACCTGCTCTCCTCACAAATCATTGTGCTCTTCTCCTTTGAGCAAAGAGAAGATAATGATAGGCTACTTTTGTATCTGGTCCCAATTCCCTTGTCAAAGGAATCATAAACCATCTCTTTTATAAGCCCATGCTTTGCAGGAAGTTAAAAAAAGTTGTGTATTGTTTTCTATATGTCAGAAAACAAATGGATTCCTAGTTCCCTTAGGGTTACCTGCCTAGTATAAAACACTAGATCAAATTTGTGGTCAGTGAGATGTGACTCTAGTCTCCCTTTCAAATCCAGCTCAGAGCTATAACTACTGAAACGGCGCTCTCAGGAGTGCTGGTTAGAACTAAATACCCTGGTTTGCCACTGGAAAGACGGGATTCTCTCTGAGGGGAAAACTCTATGCCGTTTCAATTTTGGAGTTTGGGGCATAGGTGAGATTATTGGTGTACCCTCTCATTTCATGCCAAACCTTATAAAACCGGATAAAATAAGAACATGAGCATTTTCCTCACACAAATATAAGCTCTCCAAGTTCTGGAAATTTTGTATTTATTTTTTTTGCTTGGCTAAACACATATTGGTAAAAGTAGACATTTTGAATTAGATTTTAAAACAATAGCTATACTAATTGTTTCTGCAAACTTCCTGAATTAGCCTCAGACAGTTTGTAGTGGAAATAATAACTGAAGGGAAGTGGATCAAGAGATGCCAGAGAAGTTTTGAAAGTTTGTCAGTCTTGGTGTAACTAGTTGTAGCCTGTGACATGCTGAAATTATGAAGTGTCTGAGAGTAGTAATAATAGTCATAATAAAACTGTAGTCAAAGCTGTAGTATGACCACTTTAGGAGATGTCAGAAATGTCCAAATAAATACTCTGAGACAATGACACTTCAATATTTTGAGGAGATGAGTATGAGTAATTTATACCATTATCTTAATTGTTTCAAAGATAGTCTAAGATTTTACTCAGGTTGTTAAAAAGCTTATAAAATTAGATTATAAAGTTTTTGTTTTACAGCTATTTTAAAGATCAAAATTGTAATTTTAGTTGTAAACATCTGTTTTGTGGTATAGAAAACATAGTTTGAAAGTCTGAGTTTTATGACTTTGATAGAGTTTTTATAAACTAATTTTTCTCATCATATAATGGGAATTATATTATTGCACCATTATATAAAGCATATATTTAGCAATATGTACATTTCTTACTAAGCAGTTGAGTTTGGGAAGTTGTGACTTTTAAATTAAAGGTTAGTATGAAATAATTTGTTTCCTTTAGTAATTGTAGTATTACTTAAATATATGTAGTAATTTAAGCCACCCTGTTTCATTTCCTATTAATTTATTCATGTTTCCTAAGCTTAAAACTTTGTTAGACCTTTAAAAATCAGAAATCAATTAATTTGGGAATAGAAAAATCTAATTAGTTAAATTTGAAGGGTCCTAAAAGATCTTTGCAGATCTTCCATATTGCTTTTAGCTCTGACATTTTTGCAATTCTTAAAATTTTAATTGTATTATAAATGTTAACGTATTTTATAAACTTGGATTTTGTATAGATTTTTTGGTTTGTTTTTATTTTGGGGTCACACCTAGTGATGCCCAAGAGTTACTTCTGACTCTGTGCTCAGGAATTTCTCTCGGTGGCTGGGGGACCATATGGGATGCTAGGGGTTGAGCCTGGTTTGGTACATGCAAGGTAAATGCCTTACCTGCTGTACTATATCTCTCTGGACCCAGATTTTGTATAGATTTAAAGGTATGTTTTGTGTGAGTGAGAAGCCAGGCTTCCATGAATTGCTACTGAGTTGATTCTTGTTTTTAGAAACCAAACCCATATTTTAAAAATTTATTCATTTATTTATTTTTGGTTTGTGGGCCACACCTGACAGTGTTCAGGGCTCTGCTGCTCAGAGATCACTCGTGATGGGGGACACTATGGGGTGCTGGGGATCAAACCCTGATCAGCCACCTCTAAGACAAACACCCTACCTGTGTTTATGGTAGGTGAAAATAATTTGACATGATTTGAAAACTTTGAAATGCTGTTGCTGCATAGGGCATAAATTAAGTGTTACATTCCATTTGCAAGAAAAGAGAATCCCATCTCCCCAGTGACATCCAATGCCTTCTTCCTACTTACTTGATTATTGTGACCTATTTTCAGGGCTATTAGAGTGAGTCCAGACTAATAGGATTTCCAGATTTTCCTCCACCTCAGCCCCCTCTCCTTCATTAGCAACACCTTTAGAAAGAAAAATAAATATATACATGTATATATAAAACTAAAGGGAATCCATTGAGCCATTTAAAACATGAGATCAATATCTTCAAAGAATTTGTTGAAATTAGAGAAAATACCATAGTTGGAGGATATTAGAAAACATTAAACTTGTGTTTGCTAATTCTCTAGTATAATTCATAACTAGTTGATGTCAAAACACTTTCACTAATATAATTGGCTTAAATTTGAAAATAATTTTGTTCTTAAGACAGGCTTCCTGCTTTCTTAACTTTCTTAATGATTTTTTTTTTTTGGCATGAGCTTCTAAATTAGTCTATCCAGTCTATGCTTGTTAAAGTACCAGTCATTTGTGAATTGACTTTTTTAGTAAAGTGTACAACTGTGTAAGGTGGTGAATGACACCTTAGTGCATGAAGACAAACTGTCAGAGGATTTTGGTTGTGTATTGCACTGTGTGACTGGTTCCTACTAAAAGTTAGTGTACTGTGTTTAGTCCTTTATTTAAAAGTAAATCACTAATTTCACTTATCTTAAAATATTTTAATAGTTGAAACTAATAATCATGTTTTTTAATGGGGATTTTGAAGCTTTGTGTCAAGACCATATTTTTGACAATATCAGAAGCTTTTAATAAGGTGCTTGCTGCTGAGCTAATGATATGCTTTTGGTAGTATTTCTTATACCTATCTTCAATAGACATATTCAGGCTAGTGTGAATGTAATAATCAAGCCTCAATCAAACCATACTTAGTATGACAAATATTGCATTATACTGTAATTTAGGCATTCATGCTTCTGATAAAGGGCTTAATTCGACTCCTTGAGGAACCGGGAAAACACTATTGATTTTATACTGGAATGCAAAATAGCAGCCATTTATAGTATAAGATAGAAATCACTTTCTAATTAAAATTAAATAAAGAGAAATTAAGAATCTCATGGCCTTATATGTAATGGTACACAATCTTAAATGTAAAATTATATTTTGTATCAATTGTGTTCCTGTGCATGGGTCTGTGGGCACAAAAAAAAATTTCCAGTTAATCTTAATAGAAGCAGATAATATTGACTTTTAAAATTTCTCTTAATTTTTTTCTGTAGGAACATTGCAGTGGAATATACTACTTATTTCAGACATAATTTATTTATTTATTTTTCCCTTTTAAGAAAATGTCAAAGAGATTTTTGGACAGACTATTATTCATCATCATATCCCTTTTAACTGGGACTGTGAATTTATCCGACTACATTTTGGGCATAATCGAAAGAAGCACCTTAACTACACGGAATTCACACAGTTTCTCCAGGTGAGCTTAATTTTCATAACTGTAAAAATATATGCCATTCATCCCCCTCATTCTCCTTTAGTTTAATTAAATTATTTATTATAAGAAATAGCAATTTCTTGTGACTTTTCATCCCTTTCTTAATTTCCCATTCCTACACCTTCTCCCAAGCCCAGCTCTGAATTTTTGTTAATAGTATTAAGAAGAAGGTATTAAATGTTTATGAAATGAAATAAGAAAATTATCTATTAAAAGAAAAAATACTTAGCTTTTTAAAATAAATTAGCTGCCCATAGATCCGAGGTTTACTTCTGCACTCAATTCTATTCCATTGGTGTGAGAGACTGATTTTACTCTAGTAGCACACAGTTCTGATTACTGTAGCTTTGTAATTTACTTTAACACATTGACGCCTACATCTGCCACTGCTGGTTCATATGAATGTGGTTTAATCAATACAAATTGCAGTACCTATTTCAAGTTATTGAAGTTAGGAATGCACTGCCTTCATGTTTTCTGGAACTGGGCTTTTTATTTTTGGTATTTTTGTTTTATTGTTCAGTTTCCTTACCACTTACTGGACTGCTCAGGTTTTCTCTTTCCTCCTGATTCCATTTTGGGAGTTATATGATTCTAAAAATGGACTTGATTTATTAGTTGATATTATACAAAGAAAATTGTGAAATATGTATATCAATTAGGCTGGAGCGATAGCACAGGGCGTGTAGTAGGGCGTTTTGCCTTGTGCTCAGCCAGCCCGGCCGAGCCGTGTTCGATTCCTCCGCTCCTCTCGGAGAACCCGGCAAGCTACCAAGGGTATCTCGCCTGCACAGCAAAGCCTGGCAAGCTACCTGTGATGTATTCGATATGCCAAACACAGTAACAAGAAGTCTCAAAATGGAGATGTTACTGGGCCCGCTCGAGCAAAATCGATGAACAATGGGAGGACAGTGGACAGTACATCAATGAATTTTAGAAGACAAACTCATACTAAAACAATTTTAATATTCTTTAAATTGCTATTAGGGGGCTGGAGTGATAGCACAGCGGGTGGGGCGTTTGCCTTGCACACGGCTGACCTAGGTTCGATTCCTAGCATCCCATATGGTCCCCTGAGCACCGCCAGGAGTAACCCCTGTGCATCGCCAGGTGTGACCCAAAAAGAAAAAAAAATTAAATTGCCATTAGGCCAGGGAGTGGGGAGACAGAAAAAGTACAAGGGTAAAGTGCTTGTCTTACATGTGGCTGGTCTGGGTTTAATTCTCTGCATCTCCTATGGTCTACTGAGGCCTGCCAAGAGTGATTCTTGAACACAGAACTGGGATTAAGCTTTACACTGCTGGGTGTCGCCCAAAATTAAAAAAAATATATTGTCATTGAGCTACCACAAAGTCTTTAAGAATTTAAAATTAATAAATGGTGAGACTTATATTAAAATTATTTAAAATATTTTCAGTATGAGAATGAGATTCAGCGGTAGAATGAATGCCTGACAGGTGTGAGGCTTTGGGTTCAATCCTTGGTACCATACACAAAAATAAGAGAAAGTAACATTGATAAGTGATAATAAAAATATAATATATTCTTACCTATTAATAGTTACAATATTAATATAGTTTGTACGGATATTATTTCCAGAGCTGTAGATAGTGTGAAATCACAGCTGATGGTATTGTTACGTTCTTACATTGTGATAACAGGTTGATTTGATTATGCTGTAGGTCTCCAAGGCAGAACTGCTCTTTTTTTTTTTTTTCTTTGCTTGTTTGCTTTTGAGCCACACCTGGTGATGCTCAGGGCTTATTCCTGGCTCTGTGCTCAGGGATCACTCCTGGTGGGGGTCAGGGGGCGATATGTGGTTCCAGGGCTCTAGCCCAGGTTGGTTATGTGCAGGGAAAATGCCCTACCTGCTGTACTATCATTCAGGCCCCCTGACAGAACTGCTCTTATTTTGAATTTTGTTTAGTACTGCTCGTTTTACTGACACTCTTTTTTAAGAAAAATGTTTATTTTTATTTATTTATTTTGGCTTTTTGGGTTATACCCAGCGATGCACAGAGGGTTACTCCTGGCTTTGCACTCAGGAATTACTCCTGGCAGTGCTCAGGGGACCATATGGGATGCTGGGAATCGAATCCGGGTCGGCTGCTTGCAAGGCAAACGCCCTACCCACTGTACTATCAGCCCTTACTGACAGTTTTTGTTATTTTTTTTTTTTTTTTTGGTTTTGTGAGTTTTTTGTTTCAGGGCACATCTGATAATGTTCTGGAGTCTCTCTCCAAGTGTGATACTTAGGGATCGCCACTGCCAGTTGGTTGTGGAAACAGGGAGCCTGGGTCTCTAGCCTGCAAAGCATGCATGCCAGCCCTTAATCTATCTTGCCAGTACTTTGTGTTTTTTTTTTATGATTTATTAAAAAATTTGGTTTCTCAATAGTTCAGAAGTTCAAAGATATTCCGAATGTTTATAGTCTATGAGTAATTGTGCCCAAGCCAGGCAGAGAGAGAGAGAGCGGAACACCAGTTATTTCATCATTTCATGTAACATTGCTAAATATTGTCCTTCCAGTATTCAGTAGACTTTCTCACTGGGTCATTTTTTTAAAAAAAAAATTTGAAAAATGATCTCTAATTGAGAAACAGAGAGACAGGCTTTGACATTTAATGTTTTTAACTTAAAATGAATCAAAAACTTTAAGTTTTATATTCTTGAATGACTGGGAGAGAATAAATCAATACTTTAAAGAATGATAAAAAACACCAAAAACCTGCTGTTTCCAATGATGAAAATTTTTCAAGTAAGATAGGATGATTTTCTCCTTCTGCTTTTTCTTCTTGCCATGCTGTGATTCTTTCTTCCTGGGAAGTAATAGGTGGCACAGTTTCAGAAAACATGTTTTTTAAAAGAAATTTTAATTATTGTAAATTCAGAGGCATACAAGTGTTTATGTCTCTAAGTACACTCAGGAGAAAAGTGACTATCCTTTCCACAACATACTTTTGGGATGTGCTTTCACCAAACGGCTGCCTGCGTCTGGCTCTCCCCTCCAGGAGCTACAACTGGAACATGCAAGACAAGCCTTTGCACTGAAAGACAAAAGCAAGAGTGGCATGATTTCTGGTCTGGACTTCAGTGACATCATGGTTACTATTCGGTCTCACATGCTTACTCCTTTTGTGGAAGAGAACTTAGTTTCAGTAAGTAAAAATGCAAATAATTCAACGTGCTGTTTCCTTAAACCTTTTGAACCGTTGAATCCTGACTTGCTTCCCTGCATCCACATGACCTTCAACTGTTCTAACTTTATGCTTTGTTGGTAGAAAGTAAAATGGTGTGTGTCAGGGATGTGGGGTAATCGTAACTCCTTCCTCCCATTGTAGTTTTGTTCAGTGCCACTATCCGTGCCACCATCTTGCTCCCACATTTTCCAATTTATTTCCATTTAGAGTCCCATTAAAAGAATGAAGGTGTTTATAGACAAGGGTGTACTGACTTCTTTAGTGGGCAGTGACTCTTCCGGGTACTACTGTCTTTCCGCTCTATCCAGCTTCAAAAATAAATAAATAAATAAGTGTGTGTGTGTGTGTGTGTGTATGTCTCTTTTTTAGTGAGGTAAGGTAGTTTTTTTAAAAAAATTAAATTATTATTTTAAAAATTAAATTATTATTAGTATTAGTATTAGTATTAAATCACTGTGAAATACACAGTTACAAAATTTTCATGATTGGGTTTCAGTTATACAATATTCCAACACCAGTGTAATTTCCCACACCAATATCCCCAGTTTCTCTCCTTTCACTCCCCACCCAGAGTCTGCCTCTATGGAAAGCACTTTTGTTCTCTCTCTCTCTCTCTCTCTCTCTCTCTTTCTCTCTCTCTCTCTCTCTCTCTCTCTCAGCATTATAATGAAGCAAGATCGGTTTTATTGAGACTTATTTAGAAAGATGTGAAGGAAAAGAGAGGGAGAAGTGCATGTATGAGAGAGACAACATAGGCTTCTCCACAGTAGAAAGAGTCAAGCAAAGAAACGAGACAAGCAAGTGAGAGATGTGTTCGAAGGAGAACACAGGCTCAAAGAGCAAGCCAGGTTGCAAAGTCTTGCTGTAAGGATTGCTCCTTCCTTTTTACCTGCACAGAAAGTGGCGTTTGCTAGAGGGCCTCTACCTCAGTGACCTCTACCCCACTTAGATAGCCACAGCTATGCTAGAAAGTGTGGAGGGACGATGTGGGCATCAGCCTCCCTGGCTCACTCCTCTCTGCCCCTTCTCCTGTGCATTCAGTCTGCACCAACTGGACACTTTTGGGTATGCTGTCAAGCTGCTGATCTTTATAAAGTAATCATTTGGACCAATGGCAAACTGATGTCATGCACTTCCTCACACAGGATGGAGAAACTTTCCTCACTTACCAGTTTTCTTGTTTATGTGTTGTACTTATGTATAAGTTTTGGATCGCTGCTTGTTTTAAATGGAGGGAAGCCAATGAATGCTTTTGTTGTTTCAGCTGAAGATCATTATCCCTGATTTAGACGGGGGTAGAAAGATCAACCTCTGGTCTTTTTCTTCTCTGAATTTGAACATGGAGCATGTCACTTTCTCCTACACAGTTCACCTCCTTGCCACCCATCTCCCACTTTTCTACCCTCACATCAGACCCCAGCAAAATAATGAAAGAAGGGAGGAAAAAGAAAGGTAGAAATAAGGAAAGAAAATTCTAAAGAGGATTTGCTCAGTGCCCTGGAGTAAGGAGATCATGTAATTTTTTCCAACTGGGTCAGGCAGACCTATCATAGCCTCAATTTACCAAGTGCCATTTCAGTCCTGAGAGGAATTATTAAATAGTTTGAACCCTACTTTTTGATTACTGTTATCCAGCTTCGGGGTAATAACAAATACCTTCAGTATTTGGGTTAAATCATGTATTTGAGGGGTGGGTACATTTGCCCATCATTAACAACACCATTGTTTTATTGGGGGTGGGGGGATCTCTAAGCACTACTCAGGGGTCCTGGACTACTTCTAGTGATGCGTGGCCAATCTGATTCAGTACTCAGATCCATCAGTGTGGGAGGCCATGGGTTCTTGGGTGGCAACTCTATTAATAATAAACTTTTATGATTATGGTGGTTACACTGGTGGGTTGGAGAGAGATAGTTTAGTGGGTAAGGCGCTGGCCTTGCATGTATTAAATGGATTCTATCCCTGGCACCCCATGTAGTTCCCTGAGCACTGCCAGGAGTGATCCTTAACCATGCTGCAGCCAGGAGTAAGCTCTGAGTACAGACAGGTGTGGCCCCGAAACCAATAAATAAATAATTTTTACACTGATAAACATAAACCATAGGCATTTCTTTGTATTTTTAATATAAAATGTCTAATCATATATATTCCTCTGAGTCCTGACTTGAAAATTTGACTGTTTGAAACTGTGAAAACTGTTTCTGAGTTTAAGTTCAAGTGACGGGCAAGAGGAGAAATGAGCTCCTCACTGCAGAGGTGTTAGAGGCCACCTAACTCCCATCCCTTCCCCGGTAGGAAAGAGCCCTTTTTGTGCTGATCCATTTAAAGACAGATTTATGGTAAATAAATTCTTTCTACATTTTCTTTTTAGAGTTTTGAAGTATTTGGTAGATAGAACTTTTTTTGATACAAATTTAAAGACCAGCATAGATGTAAATAATGTGGTAACAGTGTAACATTGACCTAAACAGCCCCTACAGATTAAGAAAGCTAATGTTGTGAAATAGTCCTAAAATTTAGGGAGACTACTGGTTTCTGTGTATGTGTAGGATGAAAAAAAGCAGGTTTTGAAAATGCACTTTTTATTATACATTGATGTTTGGCTTATCCAGGACCAGCAGGAGTTTTGTAATTGAGGGTCTTGCAAATCCTGTTTAACTAACCATTATTTTTGATCTATGTTAATTATATTTGTTGTTTCTGACCCTATAGGTAGATGAACCGTGAAGTCCAACTTCCAGATGTTGCTTTCTTCCTTAAAACCTAAATTGCGTAGACTTCCCTGAGGGCATCAGATGCACTGAGCATTTTAGTACCCTATTTTCCTTGTGTTTATGGACTGGGGCCTAAACATTTTAACACTAAAGATTCCTTAGATCTTCTTTGAAAACTGTGCAGTGTTCATAAACGTGCCTTGTGGTTTTGTTCTCAAACTTTTTGTGTTGTCGTTTCCTAGGCAGCTGGAGGAAGTATATCACACCAGGTTAGCTTCTCCTACTTCAATGCATTTAACTCTTTGTTGAATAACATGGAGCTTGTTCGTAAGATATATAGCACACTAGCTGGCACAAGGAAAGATGTGGAAGTCACAAAGGGTAAGATGTAGCTACATAAATATATGTATATATGAATCTCAGCATTTTTGCTTAAATGGATGAGGTTGAGCTAAATGTGCAATTTTGAAACAACTCTAGAAATTATGCTACCATATCTCTGTATATTTCACTTGGGAAGATTGGCCTCAAAAATCCAGGTGGATTTAATGGAATGCTGAGGTCAGGAATAGAAAAGTGGCTTTGACAGTTTTGAAAAGAACTTTGGCCCAGTCTGTCAAACAGGTCAGTGGCTCGGTGTTTGTACTAAGAAAAGGAGTTCCACAAAAAAGATGGGCACGCCTACTCCTTTAGGTGGCCGTCGAGCAACCAGTTATTTTATCTTGTAACACTGGAGACCAAAGTAAATAAACAGGAGAGGATCCTAAAGAGATTGTTTCATCTTTGAAGTTAGTTTTTCTTTATCTTTTTTCTTTGATGTTTCATCATCTTACCATTTTATCTTTTGCCAGTGTTCGTAAGTTCAGTTATTTTTATATTAGGTATTTAGATTAAGAATATTGAAATGCCTTTAGTTTTAAAATTAGAGTCGGCTGAGATATAAGATGTTGGAGAATAAAAATCTCTTAAAATCTTAAAATATTTTCTCTTTTATAGAGGAATTTGCCCAGAGTGCCATCCGCTATGGACAAGTCACCCCACTGGAAATTGATATCCTGTATCAGCTTGCAGACTTATATAATGCTACAGGGTAACTATTCCTTACAGTTACAAATAATTATTTGATTATGAAAGAAATAATTCTTTGTCGTTTATTTTGGGATGGGTCTCTTAACATGGAAAGCAGCGATATGCTTTCAGTACTTTTTTGACAATAGTTTATTTGGTGTATACATTTTTAGAACAAGGGACATGCAGATATGAGAAACAGGGGAGGAGGTAGACACAGTAAGGCTTGTGTGGGGGGGACACAGCGGTAGGGGAGGGGGCAGAAAGAAGAAAATAAGGGGGAGGAAAGTAGTGGGTGGAGAGCAGTAAAGTTAGGGAGTCTGGGATTGAGGCCTAGAAGAGGGAAATGGAGGAAGGGAGAAAAATGAGAGAAAGGAAAGGAAGTGATAAAAGGAGAGATGAAAGCAGTGATATAACCTGGGTTCTCTGGGAGGGTACTAGAATTTTGAAATATTTGTGAAAATTTGCCTGAATTTGTAAAATTAACTGAGGTTGCATGTTCAAGAATCTTATCATCTTTTTGGTTCATGGTGAAAGATCACTAGTTGGTTGGTATCTTGAGTATTTTGTGTTGGAGAATAGTATTTTCATGAGCTATGGCCATTATATTATCATGATAATTGCTATCATAGAAAAGCTCAAATGTTTTATGTTTCCGTTTTATAGGCTTAGACAACCAAAGCAGATGGAGACTGTTGGATTTTCTAAGTCTTAGACCAGATGCAAAAGAAAAATGCCTTTTTCTGAAGGCATCCAGCAGGACCTCTGGAATAGAGGACTTAGAATATGTCATTATTTATTTTTTCAGTTGCTTTTAGTGGTTCTTTAATTGCAGAAATATATGAAATTAGAACTATATTTTATCCCTAGAACTGAGAACTAAACAATATTGAATATACATGGGTAATTTACTGTTTTCATGCTACATAATGAATTGTTGAACTAGAAATGATAATCATATACTATCCAGTCTTTGGTGATTGGCATGAAATATCAGGACATGTCTCCTCCATTTAGAGTTCACATTATTGGGTAAGGTTTCGATACTCCTTCATAAAAATAAGTGCTTTCCAATAGTGCTTCTTTAAAATGGATCTGAAGTCACCTTCTGTCTGCTTCCTGGGTTGTGCTCACTTTAAGAAAAGAATTATTTTATTAAAGCACCATGCTTTACAAAGTTACTCTTGGTTGGGTTTGGACAGTGTTCCAGCACCAATCTCCCACTGTCAATTTCCTTCTACCAGTGTTTCCAGGTTCCCTCTCCTACACACTGACCCCATCCCCAGCCTGCCATCTTCACAGGCACCTTTTTTAAAATTTGGTTACTAAAGTTTAGTTTTATTATTTCAGTATTGTTGACTCTGGTTTGCATATTTGGCTTTATCATTCCTTAACACCACCTATATACTTGAACCCCCTTGACAGCCTCCTCACCCACCCCCACCACTTGATTTTTTTCTTTCTCCTCCCTATACTCTGGGGCCAAGGGTGATCTAGGCTCACCAACCTTTAAACCATTGCATTTCCTCATCCAGGTATTTTAAATACCACATACTGCTAAATGTTATCATCCTGTGTTTGTCCCTTTTCTTCTTGCTTACTTTATTTAACAAATTCCCTTCCAGTCCCATTCATGTTGCAATGAATTGCATGATTTCACCATTCCTTTCAGCTATATAGTGTTCCATTGTATATATATACCCTATCTTCATGTTCCACTTTCTATTGTTTGAGGTCTAGGTTCATTCCAAATCTTAGCTATTGTATTGAGCGCTGCAGTAAATAACAGTGTGCATATGTTCTTTTGAATGAATGATTTTTCTTTCCTGGTGGTAGATCCCCATAGTGGAATTGTTGGGTCAAGTGGCAGTTCAATTTTAAGTTGACTAAGAATCCTCCATAATATTTTCCACAGTGTTTGAACTAGACAACATGCATTGGATGAGAGTTCCTTTTCACCACATTCCCACCAACATAGATTGTTCCCAGTATTTTGATCTGTACCATTCTCACTGGTTAAGATAACTTGTTGTCCTGATTTGGATTTCCCTAGTAATAAGTGATGATGAGAATTTGTGTGTGTGTGTGTGTGTGTGTGTATGTGCCTGTTGTCCATCTGTTGATCTTTCTCAGAGTGGGCTGGAGTGATAGCACAGCGGTAGGGCTTTCGCCTTACAAGCGGCCAACATGGCCGACCCGAGTTCGATTCCTCCGCCCCTCTCGGAGAGCCCGGCAAGCTACCGAGAGTATTCGATATGCCAGACACAGTAACAACAAAGTCTCCAATGGAGACGTTACTGGGCCCGCTCGAGCAAATCGACGATCAACGGGAGGGCCTTTACCTTTCTCAGAGAAGTCCCTGTTAATTTCCTCTCCACATTTTTTTTTATTTTTTTTTTGTTGGTTGGGATGTGCTTACTTTTAAGTAAAAAAATTTTTAAAGAGTACATTCGCTGTTTCACTAATAAAACAAAAAACAAACAAAAAAAAGTACATTCATAGGGTTCAAAACTCACAATTTAAGAGTATACTATAAAAAGTCTCCCTGATATTCTGTCCCTTTTCCCAAAGGCAATCAGTATTTATTAGTTTTCTATTTATTATCAAGATACTTTTCACCTACACATTTAAATATGTATACTAAGCTAATACATCTAGTGAGTATTAACTCTCAGAACTTTGCTTCTGGAAAAAGTGATCTCTTCACTTTTACTTTCTGTTATAGGGCCTTATTAAATTCAAATATTACACCTTATTTCTCTGAGTCTTTGTGTATGTTATTTCTCACTGAAATTATTTGTGTGAATAGGAAAATACAAAGTTTAAATCATAATTCTCTGTCTTTTTTTTGAAGAAAGATGATCTTGGTATGTGGAGTTTATCAGTTTATCAATTTTTTTCTCCCTTTTTGCCTGAAGGCGTTTGACTCTGGCAGATATTGAGAGAATAGCCCCATTGGCTGAGGGGGCCTTACCTTACAACCTGGCAGAACTTCAGAGACAGGTAAGGAGTCTCATAAATAGACACTGTCAGAAATATTGGAATAGTAATAAGTACAATTTTTGATGGCCTAAAGCTTCTGGCATCTATGAATGTTTAAAACTACTTTGCAGAAAAAGAATTTAGTTCAAAGATTATCTTTATGGAACTACTCTTACCCTTCCCACTCTAGTATTTTTATAGGATAACTAGATTTATGTCTGTGTTATTTTCTTTTATTCTACTAAGACAGAGATCAGAGTGGAAATATGTACATGTGTTTGACGTTCTTTATCCTGGAATTAGTAGACTTTTCATTTTTTTAGTCATGTTTAAAGATTATTGTTAAGTTCATTTTGTATCATCGGACCTGCTTATATGGTTTCTAATATAGCGAAATAACTCTTTGGCCCAAATTATACCTAATAGGTTATAATTTTTAAAAAGCAACAACTGGGGCCTAAGAATAGTTCCAGGGTTAAGGCACTTGCCTTGCAACTCAGCCAGTTCTAGTTCAGTGCCCAGCACCATATATGGTCCCTGGGGCACCATCAGGGGTAACTCCTGAGTATAGCATCAGGAATAGTTCCTGAGCTATATCTGTACCCATCACCACTGGATATGGCCCAAAAACAAAGAAAGAATGAAGGAAAGAATTAAAGAAGGAAGAGGGAGGGGAGAAGAGGGGAGGTGGAGGGGAAAGGATAGGAGGACAGGGGAGAGGAGAGGAAGAGAGTGTGGAAGAGGAGAGGGGAGAGTAGGGGAAGGGACGGGAAGAGAAGGAAAGGGAGATGAGATGGTGAGGGGTTTTTTTTGGAGGGGCAGGGGGCGAGTGCCTCTAAAGTGCTACTCAGGAGACCCGAGTACGGTTCCCAGATACTCAGCCAGTGAGTCCCAACAAGTCAACCATTGGGTCTGAGGTTTTACGGTGTTGCTTGGGTCCTAAAATGCTGGATACCACTGGGGTCATCTCTGAGGTGCTTGGGGGCCACAAGACCATACCTAGTGTTGCTCAGGAGTTTCTAGGATTATACCTGGTGATTCTCAGGAGGCCATGTCATGCCAGGAATTAAATAGCACCCTTGTACTGTCCTTTTAGCCCCTAAAATAATAAACTTTTTAAATGTTAAGGATGGTTATTAAAACATCAGCAACTTAGACAAAGCTATGCAAAAATTTTCTTCTATTTGAGGTCCATGGAATGGTAGTTCTGCTTCTAAAACAAATTGGAATTAAAATAAATTACAGTTTCAACTTCTATTTTATATAATAAACAAGAACTTTGATGTCAGGTTGAAGCAAATTGAAAATGTAAAAGAAATACTGCTTTTATATCTTATATTGGTATTTTGCTGGATGTATGATAAAGCTTTTTTATAGATTAAAATGTATTTTTTGAGCATGGAGCATTTTTGAGGTTAAAGTCAGGCTAAAATTGCTAGCTTTACACATTTTGTCTTTGGCACCCATACTTTAAAAAAATTATAATAAGCAAGTTTACTTTGCCCTATATCAGAATGGGTGATAATCTTTTAATTTTTTTGGTTTTGATGTTACACCCAGTGGTGTTCAGGGCTTATTTCTAGCTCTGCACTCAAGGATCACTCCTGGTGGGACTCAGAGGACCATATCTGGTACCGCAGATAAACCAACATTGGCTGTGTGCAAGACAATTAATAATTTTTTTGAAAAATAGCCATTACTGTAGATCACATATTTTTCAACTGTATGAGATAAATTACCCATGATGGACCTTTTTGAATGTTTATGTACTTAAAATTGATTTCCTGGGAACCACTAGGAGTCCTTCCAAACCAAAAATTTGCAACTCGAGAAATCATTTTGTTTCTATTGAAAACTATATACAAGCTGTTGACCACTTACATATAAGTATTAGAAAACAATTTGGGTTGGATTCTCCCAACACATTAGTAAAATGATTTTTCAACTTTACGTCATATACACAGCTCCTTGGGCTGGAGTGATAGCACAGTGGGTAGGGCGTTTGTTTTGCACACGCCCAACCTGGGTTCAATTCCTCCTCCCTTCTCGGAGAACCCAGCAAGCTACTGAGAGTATCCTGCCTGCACAGCAGAGCCTGGCAAGCTCCTCGTGGCATATTCGATATGCCAAAAACAGTAACAAGAAGTCTCACAATGGAGACGTTACTGGTGCCCGCTTAAACAAATCAATCAACAATGGGAGGACAGTGCAGTAATATATGTAAATAAATCATATGAAATGCAATGTAAATCTACACATTCCTGTGTTTTCTTGTGCTTGAGTGTTTTGAGGAGGATGGGGTGGAGGGGATGAGGTGGGGGTGGTGGGAGGGACGCAAGGACCATTGGTGGTAGAAAATGGGCACTGGTGGAGGCATGGGTACTCGATTATTGCATGACTGAAACGCAAGCACGAAAATTTGTAAGTCTGTAATTGTATATCACGGTGATTCACTAATAAAAAATTTAAAAAAAGAATATTGAATTCTTGTCCTGCCATAAAAATTAGAAACGTGGACTGTAGATAAGAGAAGTTTAGTTTCCCTAGCCTTACTTTTCCATTCCCAATCATTAATTTGATTTGGTATAACATGTAACCTTCAAATTTTTCCTTTACCTATGATGATCAGTATAGAACAAGTCCAGCTGTTCCTTCCTTCTCTTTTCTCCGTGACTGCTGTGCCTTTGAAGAGCTGGTTCTCTTTTTTGACGACTTGCTGCCTGAGGCAGCCTAGTCAGGGCAGGTTCTTGACTTGCCTACTGACATGATCTTGTCTAATTTAATAATTCTTACTCATCGGACAAGGCATATTTAACAACAAAAATGAAAGTTCTCTCCAGATGAAATCTCAAGTCATAGCCTATCATACACATGTGCTTAGGGAATAGGTTAAAAATCATTTGACTCTCAATTCTTGTTTTGCTTTGAAAAACACTTAATTAATCTTGTTAAATATCACCTTCATGATCATAATCATAACCTTAGGGGAAAGTGTGCCTTTTCCTTTGGCCCATTTGCTCACGGCAGGCGATCTTCTTAGTGCTGAGTATTTTCTTTCAGCCTAAATGCTGAAAATTCAGTACATAGTCATTAATAGGGATGACAGCAAGAGGCGCATTCAACTTATGAATATTCATGAGGTGAAATCCATAGCATTAATTACATTAATTTGCATACCTGAATACAAGTGAACCATAAGTTATAGTGATAGCAAAGCCTGAAAAAAAAGAACCTTCCGTAACCATATATTGTATTTTAAAAAAATTAATGCTATTTAATAAGGGTGGAGGTGACATTTCTTTCAAAAGGTATTTAAGATATTTTAAATCTATTTTTAGCTAAGAATTAAAGCACACTATAATCCTTTAGCTTTCATGGGATTTTGTAGGACTTATAAACATTATTTAAAGGAAGAAAGCATAAAGAAAATATATGTGGTTGAACACAAATGAAACCTTTTCTATGAATAAGGGAATTAGTGCTTACCTGATTCTTAGTTGGGCTCATAGCCCTTTTATTCAGTGAGTCTTAATCTGACATGTTCTTTTGTAAGAAGTCATGATTGAAAATAATTCATACTCAATGAGAATGAGGTTTGTTTTCATCCAGTTTTATATAGTTGAGGAATTCCAGTTTATGCAAAAAAGTTTACATGTGCTTTCAGAAGTTAAAACTAGGTTACATTAGTAGCATAACAGCCACATTTATTTTAAAAGATTAAAATATTTAAGCCAAAATACCCTGTCTTGAATTTCCTTAAAATATATCTGGGGTGCTGGGAGATAGTACAGTAGCCTGGGGTTGACTCCTGGAACCTGTGGTCCCCTGAGTATTGCTGGTTGCAGCCTCTGAGGCCCCCCACACCACTAGGGTGAGCCTGGCTGCAGGTCCTGAGCAGCATTGCATCCTTAGGCCCTTAGGCTGAACCCAAGAGTTGCCTGTGGGACTTCCCCACACCACCCCAGGCCTCCTGAGCATTACCTGTGAGTCAAAAAAAAAATTTTTTTTTTTAAGTAAACTATAGATTGGCTGGAGAGATAGCACACAGCTGACTGGAGCACGTGCATTTCATACAGGAGGTCCATGGAGCATGCCAGCAATGAACCGAGAGTACTAAATGAGGGATATCACCTCAGCCCCACTGAGGTGTGGCTCAGTCACCACCTTCCCTCCTGCGCCCCACAAAAAAATGATGTTAAGATCATCTTTGCATGAAAGATCAAGATTGTGCTTGTTTTCAACTCTTTAAAGCAGAGGCGTTAACCTCACTGTATTCAGCCAACATTTAAAAAGCTAATAAGCATATCAGTTATAAACAGATCAGTATAAGATTTGATGAAGTGATACCAGATTTTTTTTCAGGGCTGGGGTTGTGAATGAGTGGGAGAGCACATGTCTCACATGGGTTTGATTTCCCAGTCCTGACAAAAGCCTTTTTTTCTTTTTTTTTTTGGCTTTAGTAAAACTTTTAAGATTATATTTTTATCTCATTCTTTTGTAATTTCTGTTTTTAGTTAAATGTATATTAAATATAAGTTTATTATATATTTTAGATGTATATGCGTGTAATTAATTTGTAACTGAAATCAAAGAGTGAGGTTAGATACTTAAAATCTTTGGCAGGAGTGTTCTAGCACACACAGGGTGCCTGAGACATAGTACAGTGGATAGGGCTTCTTGCTTTGCATGTGGCTGACCCAGGTTCAATACCTGGCAACCCCTTTGGCTCCCTGAGCACCACCAGGAGTGATCCCTGAGCATTGAGCCAGGAATAAGCCCTTAGTACTGCTAGGTGTGGCCCAAACACCAAAATAACAACAAAACCAAAACCAACAGTGATTTCCTATAAATGATTGACTTCAGGAATGATGGAAGATACAAAGGAGATGCCAGAGATGCTTCCTTATCTCACAGTGAGACCTTTGTCAAGTTACCTTTCCACCTGTCCTGTTCATAGTGTGACTATCTTATCTTTGTAGGTACTTTGGAGTCACGGTCATGGTCACGGTCCTCCCATTGTT